GCAAAGATGACACGGGTCGGAGGGATGAAGGAGGTGAGAGGGGTGAAGTGGCCTCCGTGTCTGGTGCCTCCACGAGGCAGGTGTGCGCAGGGAGTGAGGTGCGGAGACGAGGCGCACAGGTCAGGAAGGGCGTGTGCTGCACACCAGCTCACAGGCCCAGGTGCAGGGGAGCGCAGGAGCTGCGGGGGGATGGAGCCTGAAGCAAGCGCTGACTCTCAGATCATGGGGCCAGAACTAGGGGCTACACGACAATCTAGAAGACAGAGGAGGGCACATCTTGGGTGGGAAGAAGGGATCAAGTCAGAGGGATTACCAAGGGAGGAAGAGCATCCTTTAGGATAGGAAAAAGAGAACAGCTAAAATATCTTGTTTCTAAATTGAAATGCTACAGAACAAAATGTTTCCAAGGAAACCTCAAGTTACTTGTTAATTGTCTAGGGAGATTAGGTCATCCAGAAGGACAAAACCTTTTTAGTTCATTAACTAAAAAGACATCAGGACATGGAGCTTTGTTTAAATAGAAGTGATCAGACGTCCCTTGTGGCTCAGTGGGTAAGAATCGACCTGCCAATGCAGGCGACATGGGTTTGATCCCTAGTCCAGGAAGATCCCACGTGCCACAGAGCTACTAAGCCCCCGTGCCACAACTGCTGATCCCATGTGCCATAACCACCGAGGCCTGCGCACCGAGGCCCTGCACTCCACCACAAGAGAAGCCACCACCAAACTCGAGAGTCGTTCCCACTCGCCGCAACGAGAGGAAGCCTGCACAAAGCAATGGAGACCCAGTGCAGCCAAAAGTAAAATAAATTTAGAAACAGAAGTGATGACCAACCTCAAAATCTCAAAGTTAGGGATGGGCTTTGTATACTATCTATGCATTCTTTTCCCCAGCCAATTTCAAGATTACTTTCCTTTTGGTGCAAAAAAAAAAAAAAAAAAAGATAATGTTGGTGAGAAGGAAGACAGCCAGGAAAACATTTTGGTGTGTAATCAATCTGCCAGAGTTGCTTCAAAAATGGGCTTATTTTTCCTGTCAAATCTGATCTTTCCAAACGTTGGGGGAGCAATGAAAAACCTCTGGACATATTTCACATTAAAACAATACATATATGTCTATGTTTTGCTAAAATATTTTCCTCTGGCTGCTTGAATTTCGATGTGTTGCCAACTTTTAAAAGATGGTGTTTGGAGTGCAACTCTTTTACAAATAAAAAATAATATCAAGCAAAAAATCTACACAACTTATAAACACAGAAACAGGCTTACAATGTTAATTTGAGTGCGGATAATCCATGGGAATCCGAAGGAAAGAGAAACAGCCCAAGGACCCATACTTGGAGGCGTGTTTGGACCACCGATGAAAACGAGGACATGATGAACGTCCACGCAGTCCTTTCTAGCTTGTGATGGGAACCTTTCCGAGGCGCTGGGACCCACAAATCAGAACTGCTGCCTAATCATGTTCAGGCATGAGGGCAAAGTCAAACATCCCTGCAAACTATGAGTGCGTGAAGCCACCCATGCGAAGCAAGAAAGAACCACGTCCCTCCCTCGGGAGGCTCGGGTGTCTTGAAACTGTTTTGATAAGAGCAACTGAGCACACACGGCAAGAGCGGGAAACGCTGCAGCGTGCTGCCAATGGCAGGAAAGACCTCATCTGTCCCATGTTCTTTCTTGTGCTAAGACTTCCTTATATTAGAGTGAAATTTCACCGGGCTGATTTCGGTATTCCTGGGTTTCAGTTGAAGGCAATTAAACAGAGGGGATACTAAACAGAAAGATGCACTGGGGCAATAAACTAGAAAATAACTAATCCATCAACCTCAAGAGATGGGAATTTTTAAAACACAGGTGTCGGTGAGGCTCAACCAAACTGCTTCATTCCTAGATCTGGTCTTATGCTGATTTTGGAAAAGGCTTCATTAAATGGGAAATTTTCATACTGTATAATGAATGTTCAGAGTCTTTCTCTCTAAAAACTACTACTAATCTTTGGAGTGAAAAAGATTCTTTTGTCATGATGCTCCCAGGAGATAAAAATCATCATTGGTAATCTTCACATCTAGGCTTTTCTGTGAGTAAAAATGACCCCTTCAGCTTCCTTGACTGCACGGTAGGTGGTCTCCCTCTCTTTTTTAAGGCCCTGAGAATCTTGGACATTGAAAGGCAGGCTCACATCAGTTTTGGAATGTACCATTTTGGCTGTTAAAAGGCTGGAAGTGGGGTGTGGCCTCTGGGTTGAACTACCAGTCTGCTCCAGAGTCCAGAAGTGCCCACGTGAGTGAGACTGGGTACCTGGGTTCGTGGAAAGAGGTGAGCATGGTAGCTGAGACATGGGAGCAACCAATAGCGTCAGCTAGACATTAGTTATTAGAGTTAGTTATTTAGTTAACTTTAGTTATTGAATAAATTTTTGTTTACAATGTTGTGCTGGTTTCCTCCATACAGCAGTGCCCACCAGTCACAATTATACCTCCATCTCCTCCCTCCTTGGCCTCCCGCCACTCCCCCGCTCTATCCCTGCAGTCATCACAGAGCGCCAGACTGGGCTCCCTGTCCAGCACAACAACTGCTCATCAGCTACATTCTACCCTTGACAGTGCACGCAGGCTGACGCTACTTTCTCCACTCTCTCTCCCTCACTGTGTCCACAAGTCCATTTTCCACATCTGTGTCTCTATTCCTTCCCTGCAAATAGCTCACCAAAAACATTTTTCTAGATTCCATACATATATATATATATATGCATTAATATACTGTATTTATTTTTCTGCCTTACTTTACTATGTATAATAGGCCCTGGGTTCATTCACCTCACTAGAACTGACTGAAATTCTTTTTCTTTAATGGCTGGGAAATATTCCATTATATATATGTACAACTGTTATATTGCCCTTTTCTCTGATAATCTTAATTTCAGTGAGTCAAGTGTGAAAGCACAAAACTTGTTGAGAATCAATACAAAAAAAAAAAAAATCTAAGACTGAATACTCCTGTTTCTCTCTTCTCTCAAAGATTTCAATTAGTTAGCAACTGTGTCAGTATCATATGGAATTTTATTTTATACAGCTGCATATATTATATACATAAAATATATGATATATGTATACACTACAAATATAATATCTATATACACACACGTATATAGATCTGTAGTTTCCCCTCTAACATACACTGATATGTATACTTTTACACATGAGATGTGCACACTTCATACATAGACTTTGTCATCTTAGAAAAGCTGAAAAATAGTGACTTGAAAAGCATTTATATCCTATTGTTTTCAAGCTTACAGAAAGATATGGCCATAAAGTTAAGAAATTTTATTTTTAAAAATTTAGGTCTTTTATGTCTTTTGAAGTTCTTGAGTCTAATTTTAAATTGCAACTTGACTTTCAAATGTCGAATTGTAGACAGGCCTCTCGTGTCTCTTGTTGACTGTAACCACGTTTGACTTGTTAGTTCTAGAGTCAGGGTAGGGGATGATTAAGGATCCATTTTCCCCTTCTAGTTATGTGATTTAGAATGACGGGAGATAGAACTGCTTCTATTTAGCTCTTAATTACAGAAACCAATGAGAGGATTAAGACTTATTTCTACTAGTTTGTAAATTACTACTTTAGCATATGGACTTAAACCAAACTCCAGCTTGAGTGTATCTCTAATAGTTCCAAACTTCCCAGAATATGTCTTTCTAAATATTATCTTTGTTGGGTGTTAAGAGTAACTAAGACAACTCTTCTGGATGATTTACATAGCTTTAACTTTAACCTCAAAAATTCCATTATTCCCATGGTAGTGGAGGAAGGGGGGGAATGAGAGGCAGGCAGAAAGAGAGGAGAAGAGAGAGAGAGGGAGAGAGAGAGGGGAGGAGAAATTACAAACTTCTATCCATGAGTTATTTTAGATCATGTATTTAAATTGTAAAAGTTACAATTTTTAAGCGGTGGGGTGAGGAAAAAGGCAAGAATAAATTAAGAAAGACTATAGACCTTTTGGCACAATGCCTTTAAAAATATAGCTTAACTAATCCTTGAAATGTTCCTCTTGACCAAACCAAAACCCTGTTATATATATGAGGACTCTGTGGTTCCCCCAAAGCTGAGCAGCTTATCTAGAGTTCACAGAAAATGGAGGAACAGTTGTGCACTGCCGGGAGCCCACAGACTTCTCACACACACCTGGCTGGTCTGCATTTGTATTTAACTGTGTATTTTAACTGTCAAAGACACAGGCATCTATGCCATGGCAGTGAATGAGCTTCCTGATGTTCTTGCACATAAGCGAATGTTAAAATGAACTGGCCCACCTACAGTTCACAGCAACTTAAGGCAGAAGAACCAATCCTGACAGTCACGCGAGACGAACAGACTAGCATATGATTAAGTCTGCCTGATCGGGAAAATGACGAAACCATGAAAAACCATAGAGAAACTTAACAGGCCTAACGTGTGATGAACTCAGTAAGAGGGAAGTTGTGGCAGGGGGAGTGGTCTTTATGGAGTGTGGCCCTGAGTTACCCAGAAAACCCAAAGGGGTGTCCTTCCTCATGCTCTAGCTCAAGAGTCTTCTAAAGCCTGTATTTCAAGAAACCACAGTTTAGAACATGCTAGAAACAGCGATGCTTCCTTAAACTAATTTTTCGTTTTCTGCGTCACACGAACCCAACACACTGACATGCCCTCGGCCCCTCCCGCCGGATGGTAGGTCACCTGCTCGCCTCTGAGCTGTGGTTTCACCCCTTGCTGCCACGGGGTGGACTTCCAGGGCTGCCCAAACGGTCTGCCTCCCACACATGCTGTTACTGACCTGCTGGATTTTGAGTGAATATAACATCATGCTGTTTTCTATTGCCAGTGATAAAACAGCAAGATTTCCCCATATCAGAGCAAGGCACACGTCTTTCAAGAGATGTTTTAAAAGGCAGGGAAACAAATTAGGAATACAATGTCTCATCATTTGACCAATGACTCTTTCTGACGCTTGCTCTTTTCTAGCTTGAGAATTACATCCAGGACAACATGAAGAAAGAAATGGTGGAGATACAACAGAATGCGGTGCAGAACCAGACTGCTGTGATGATAGAAATAGGGACCAACCTGCTAAATCAAACTGCAGAGCAGACCCGGAAGTTAACCGATGTTGAAGCCCAAGTAAGTAGGGAAATGGGGAACACAGAGTGGCCCAGACTGACAAATAACTAGCACAAAATCATTACCTAATGACACGAGGGAGAAGCAGAGAAAGCTCCAGAAAAGCAGAAAGAAGGATGACTCGATAAGAAGTTAAGAATTTGTGTCTAGATAGAAATTACAATCAGGAAATACATGTTTTTAATGCTGACATACATTACATGTATTCTGCTGAGGACATTCAGACCAGTCTCACATTACTCACACCCGCCACAAGGTAAGTGTCCACCGCCCTGCCGATGTGCTCTGGGCCCCAGACCGGCTCTTCGGTTCCGAGCCCTGAACATTCTGTGTGCTTGAGACACGAAGAGCACTGAGGCAGAGTGCTACAGACTTGGTTCTTAACCCGAACTCTCGAGTTAAGATGCTACCTAAGCTCACAGAACTGCCAAAACAGTTTATGTGGTGTGAGTTTATGCAATTCGTGGTGTGAGCTTACAGAGAAAGCGGCAAAGGGAAGAGCAAGGAGCGCAGCTGAGGCACAGAGAGGGTTTGACTTTCAGCCCCAAGACCTGAGCTCCACGGCTGACCCGATGACGCAGCGGAGCGAGGCTCCAGCTTTCCGCAGGCCTCCGAGGCAGTGAGTCTGAACAGGAGAGCTGGCCAGGTCCCTGTGAGCTTTAAGGTTCTATGAGCTATCAATTAATGGTAGGAAAGAAGAATATGAACTATGGAAATGTTAGAAGAATAACAGCAAAACAAGAGAGTGAAGTTCGTCTGGAGCCATGCTGGATGGCCCGCCACATGTGACCCAGTACAAAGAGTCCAGGTGGGGAAACAGTGCTGTTGGGGGATCTATGGAGAAGCTCCAAGTTCAAGATTCACCACTGATAAGATGGCCTGCTGGGTTCTAATCCTGACTTCTTTATAGGCTTATGAGGAGTATCTTCCTACCAGAAGTTATAAGTAATGCTCAAAAAAAAAAAAGTAGATTTAACTGAAAATGGTTCCCATGACATATTATTCCTGTATAATCTTATGATTCATGTGCTACTTAAGCTAAAGGACCAAGACATGCCCCGCATCAGCCAGGAGGGGATAAAGGATAAGAGAAATCAGGTAAATTAAATGTAACAAGTTAAGACACAAACATCGAAAAGTAAATGTATACACATACCCATGGTCAACTATTAAAATAGATTAGTAATATCTGAGTCACACGCCCACCTTCTGAGAATACAGCTGATGAGCAATCAAGCCCTTCAGAAAACAGTCCTGGGGCTTCCCTGGTGGCACAGTGGGTAAGACTCTGCCTGCCAATGTGGGGGATGAGTTCAATTCCCGGTCAGGGGAGGTAAGACTCCGCAGGCCCGCAGCCTGCGCTCCACCCGCAACAAGAAGAGCCACAGCAGTAAGATGTCCACACACTGCGACAAGGAGCCTGCTCGGCTCAACCAGAGACAGCCACGCACAGCCATGAAGACCCGAAGTACAACACTGCTCATGTTTCAGAGAAGACTAAGAAAGAAGTATAAGACACAAAGCAATAACGGAAACCTTGGCCGTCCTCTGTAAGTTAGACTCACTAGCATTTAATGAGATTTTGTTGGGTCACGTGATTTTTTAAAAATCTATTGCAAAACTAGGTGGAAAACAGGAAAATAGAAAGATGGCTGGAAAGAAAACGGCCTCTAATATCCGACTAAACAGAATAAGACGGCTGAGCCTAATCAAAGACATCGAGGAACCAATTATGTATCAACTTACTCAGGTATCTGGTGGGCAGTTACTGTGTGAAGCTGGTTAAATTCAAACATGGAAGGTTTTGATTAGAAGATTCTTCCAGCCTGTCAGTGTGAGACTATTAAACCAGACTGTGAGGGATGGCTGGAGGCCTGAGATCTTAAGACACAACAGACAACCATATGACCTGGGAAATTTAGAGTCACCTGCTGCTGGCGGCCTTCGGAAAAGTGATGGGAAAAACATCGCATTGGTCCTGGATCAGTCAGGACCCATTGGTCGCCCCTCCCCTGCTGAACTCACTGAGCTCCCTTAGGAGCAAAATTAAAGATGAGTTTCCAGTCCCTTCTCTCAATAACCAATGCACAGTGTTGGGGCCCAGAGAAGATGTAGGCCTCATCTATATTCCGGGTGTTAGCATCCGATCACACCCTGGGGCTGGCCGGGGATTTACTCATGCACAGAAGGGTGGTCATGGCAGGAAGGCATCCAGCTTTGAAGACCAGGCTGTCCCTAAACCCGTGTGACGGGGCCATGCCAAGGTGTTCATGAATGACAAAGACCCCGAGCAAACAATGCTTCTTTCAAGGACCCTCATTCCGGCCAACAATTCTGCCTGACACTTAACACATGACGTCACATCCTGAGTAACCATGACACAGAGGACGTGAGTCACTGCACTCTTCCTGCTAAAATGCAGCCAAAGGCGAAAGAATTCATTCTTGAAGTTGTCGGAACACAATGGAACAGTGATACAGCACGTGGTGTGTGTCAGAAAGGCCCGCAGAGCGAGAGCAGCTCCTGCCTCACACTGATGCTCCTGTTTCCTGACGGGCTGACATGACTTTTAAAATAGGAAAGAGAGACATGGAGAAGGCAAGTGGGGGAGACTAAACAAGTGAACACAAATAAGGAAATGCTAGGCTAAGAGCGAGTTGTGCTCTGTCAGAATGGAAGCCAGTGGTTCTAAACTCTGTCCACTGACACACAGATGTGGGGGCAGCAAAGGAAATGCCTCCTCTCACTTTATCAGCCATCTCTGACATATCAAGTATGACCATTTTATGCTCCTGATTATTCCACTGTGTGCAACAGCAAAACACGGCAGAACGAGAAAACGAACATTATATTATTTGACACAACCACCACTGTCCAGAACTATTAAATCCTTTCCAGAATAACATGACAAAAATATATATATATATTTAGCACACTTTGAAGTATTCCAGCACAACAAACCTTTTCCGAAAATGAAAAATATGACAAAATAAGATACTTGGGTATATAAGTAACATTTTACTTATTTTTTCCTATAATTTAGATGACTTTGTATCTAATTTAAAAAATACTAAGTAGGAATTTTATTTTGTTACATTTAGGTATTAAATCAGACAACAAGACTTGAACTTCAGCTTCTAGAACACTCCCTTTCTACAAACAAATTGGAAAAACAGATTTTGGATCAGACCAGTGAAATAACCAAACTGCAAGATAAGAACAGGTAATAAAAATATAGAGACGTATAATCCAGAATCATACACTTTCTAGATATGAAAGCCTATTTCAAGTGATTATTAACTATAAAAAAGCATGGCTTTCGAAATGCCGCATTTCTTACTGTACAGTGCAAGGATCACAAGCTGACGGGAACGTCGTGACAGGGTTTGGAGAAAAACACCAAAATGGCATCACCTTCTAAAATAGGCCTTGACTTTGTTCTTTTAACCCTCTGGGCCCCTTAAAGATCCTCTTACACGAATCCTCCAAATTTTACCTCAGGATTTTACATTAATCCACGGAAAACTACTACTGAGGCATTTTGATATTAACAAGTTCTTTGCCTCTGAGAACTTAGTTTATTTCAAAGCAAAATGGCCTACAGCAGGAAAACTACACCTTATTGTAAACCAATGCACATTCCAAGATGCAATGTTTATTTTTAAAGCATATGCTAAAGTAAAATCAAAAGTTAATATTAAATACAGTTATGTTAATATCTAAATAAAATGTTAAAAGCTCTAAAAAAACTGATCCAAAAACCAAGATTACAGTGACCAGAGGGAACTGTTTTCATAGGCTTGCTCAGGCGGGGATGTAGGAGAGTGATTCTGTTCACGTTCGGAATGTGCGCATTTCCTCGTTTCTAATCAGGACATGCATCTACAACATGTAACGACACACGTACACAATGAAGTAATTCTTCATTCATAGCCAAAAATGATGGCACACTTACTGTCTTATGATCATTGTTTCCTTTAATTGAGAACTGAAACAATTCTGTTCCTTGGGTAACAGATTGAATTCATTATTGACTGAGAGTTTTGAAAAGCAAGTCATTTTTTTTCTTAAACTTTTAATTGGGAGAAAATTGTTTTACAGTGTTGTATTGGTTTCTGCCATCAATCAGTTCAGTTCAGTTCAGTCGCTCAGTTGTGTCCGACTCTTTGCGACCCCATGAATCGCAGCATGCCAGGCCTCCCTGTCCATCACCAACTCCCGGAGTTTACTCAAACTCATGTCCATTGAGTCGGTGATGCCATCCAGCCATCTCATCCTCTGTCATCCCCTTCTCCTCCTGCCCCCAATCCCTCCCAGCATCAGGGTCTTTTCCAATGAGTCAGCTCTTTGCATGAGGTGGCCAAAGGACTGGAGTTTCAGCTTCAGCATCAGTCCTTCCAGTGAACACCCAGGACTGATCTCCTTTAGGATGGACTGGTTGGATCTCCTTGCAGTCCAAGGGACTCTCGGTTTCTGCCACACAACACACAAATCAGCCATAATTATACGTGGACCACCTCCCTCCCCTCCCACCAGCCCGCCCCGCTTGGCCGTCACAGGGCAGCAGGCTGGGCTCCCTGTGTGCGGGTGACAGCAGCTTCTCAGCAGCCATCTAGCTCACATGTGACACTGTGTGCATACGTCAGAGCTGCTCTGTCTACCCGTCCACTCCCCTCTCCCCACTGTGCCCATGCGTCCACTCTCTATCTGAGTCTCTGCTCCTTCACTGCAAATAGGTTCATCGATACCACTGTTTCTAGATATTCCATAAATAAGCATTAATACACGATACTTTTCTCTTTCTGACTTACTTCATTCTGTGAAGCCTGGGGTCACCCACCTCACTAGAACTGACTCAAATTCTGTTCTTTTTGTGGCTGAATAATATTTCATTGTATATATGTATCACATCTTTGTCCATTCATCTGTACCAAGTAGATTTTTATTCTAAATATTTTAATGTTCCACATTTCTCTCTTACGAAAAGTAATATAAAAGTCTGAGGCCAATAATTGAGATATATTAAGAGTCTCTTGTTCCATGTTGTTAAAATGGCCTTATTTAATGTTCCCTTGAGTGGGCTGCAGTAATGCTGGGACACCCTGGTGCTGGACATTGTTCCCGCCTTAATTTCTGAGTTAGTATGCTATGATGCTAAAATGATCACTTACATGTGTCAGTTATGTTACCCAGACGACAACTTTATAAATAGTTGTCAAATGGTACTGCCTTTTGTCTAGAAAAGCATGCATCTAATTCTCAATTCAGATACACTGCTTACTATTTTCACTTATTACAATATGCAATTTTTTTTCAGCCTAAATTGCTGTGAAATGCAGCCTGAACTACTGTGAAATGCAATCAACAACTTTCACTACATTTTTTAATCATCCATAATTTGACAAAATTCTTTCCTATGTTAAAACTTTACAATGTATAAAATAGTGACTCCAACCACACAGGAAGCTGCTGTGTTTTCTGATAATTCTAGCTTAAATGATCCTTCACATTCCTCCCTCCCCCCTTAATCCTACACAGTTTTCCCCGGTTAACTGACATTTGACCAGTAGTGTGCTTTTCCAATAATTTCAACCCATTTTTATATGAGTTATTTTTATCATCTGAGTCACCAGGGAAGCCCCTATTTATGAGTTACTTTCAAACATCACAACATTTTCTCCATAAAACCACTCTGCTGAACAAACATCTCTAACAAACTAAAACCCTAGGTCACTTGCAACAGCAGAGTCCCACACGTGAATTGCAAATATCTAACTCAGACTGGTGGCACAGTGGTAAAGAATCCACCTGCAATGCAGGAGATGCAAGAGACTCAGGTTCAATTCCTGTGATGGGAAGATCCCCTGGAGAAAGAAATGGCAACCCACTTCAGTATTCTTGTCTGGAAAATTCCATGGACAGAGGAGCCTGGCAGGCTGCTGTCCATGGGCTTGCAAAGAGTCAGAGATGACTAAACGACTGAACGCACACACCTAACGCAGCCTGGAGCCACAGGACTGTTTCTGAGTGACCTGCCATAGTGAGGATACTGAAAGATGCAGCTTTTATCAGCGGACTTACAGAAACCATACATAACGAATCTATACCTGCAGAAGAATAACCTTTTCAGCAGCTGCAGGAATCATGTTCTCTTTTGACACAATATGAAATGCAATGGCAATACTATGTTTCTTTTCATTAACAACTTTAAATAAATAATAGGAAAGTCGTGTTGATTTTATATCATTCAGTGAGTCTGGCATGCTGTTTTCAGATACCTTAAAATTTGAGGTTATCCTAAGATGTGGACTAGCCTAAGATTTCATCTGCAGATTTCATCATTACAAAAATACGTGAATGTATCGCACATTTGACAAACCATATTTTAAATCATCTTCAGTAGTTCTCTCAAAGCGTGATTGCTTTCTTCATGGAACATGAAGTACTTAATTTTTTTCCAGTGAAGTCAAAGTACTTAATAGCACCGACATTTTCCTGAAAATAACGATGAGCTGAAGTTGAAAATTACTATACTTTTTTCATCTTATCATTTCTTTCCTTCTAAAAATAAATGATTTAGGGGCTACTTGCACAGTTGAATTAAATTACAATTACCGTAGTATGATTCAGTCGTTACTGAAAAGCATTGTCATTTATACTGTCCCCTTCTGAAGAGAGGCAACAAAAACACATAAAAGAAACAGGATTCAGCCTTGATATTTCTGCCAACAGGGAAATTTCTCCACATTTCTCAACAGACCATGAATTATGTTAATATAAAGTTACACAGCACCAACGTCCAACTTCTATGGCGATGATCGAGCAGACCGTCCCGTATCAGGAATCCACGTGAGACGCTAATGAGCAGAGTGTCAGTGACACAGGCGTCCCCGCCCCTCCCCCGCCCACCATCTGCCCACACTGACCATGGCGTCCGCCGCACTGCGCAAAATCCCTGCTATGAATTTATTCTCATGTCTTATCCCCCTTATTGAATTTCCTTTTACTAGAAAAAAAAGCATAATACAACTCACTAAGTTGACTGCAGAAGCCAGTAATGGGGCCAGATGTGCATTTTGCAGGCCACGGCTCTGAGACCTGATCTCTGAGACTCTTTTAAGCTTTAAACACAGAGATACATGGTCCTGGTCACAGTCAGTCTGATCTGGGATGGCCTGATGCTGGGCTTCACTCTTCAGCACATGCTTATATGTAATTTTAAGATTCAATCTTTAGGCCAGGATGTGACTGATCTCTGGATTATACTGGCAGAGATTTGGGAGAAAGAAAAAAATTGACAATTGGACCATGATAAATGTAAGAGCTGCAACTGAATTTACTAATAATTAGTATTAATATTGATTGTTAATGCTTATAGGTAAGACCTGGAATGGGTAGTCAGGCCCTTAGTTAGCTTAGTAATGTTGTTTCCAAGGTTAAAGGTTCAGAAAATGTTACCGCCCCCCAAAAAGGAATAATAGACTCACAGATTATTTGAACTAGAAGGGGTCTCGGAGATCACCATCTAATCTAAGGCCTTCATTTTAGGTAGAGATTCATGACTGCAGGTGGACTGTCCCACAGATAGAGTAACACCAGGGGGGCCGCGTGCAGAGGTGACATTCTCAGCCCAGAGCTCTGACCCCCGGGGGTTCCCAACACCAAGGGCACCTTCTCACTGCCCTCAATGAGAAAAACCATGGTCTTCACAGGCAGTGCATGTGGAAACTTCTAGTCATGAACCTTATGTTTTCACCAGGGCACTTTCTCCTCATGCCCATGTCATATCTGTGTCCTCTGTCTGATCTCAGCAAGCTTGAGAGCCTCCTTACGGCTCCGGCAACATCTGATTACTTTATAACTCCTGTAACATCTTACCAGAGGGCCCTGCAGAAGCAGAAATTCCATAAATATAAATGACTATATAAGGATTTATGAAACTGATTAGATGTTTACCAAGCTCATGGCTTTGATGATTATCAGAAAACCCTTCACTAACTAACAATTATCCCCCTTTACAAGTTTCCTGGAGAAGAAAGTTCTAGATATGGAAGACAAGCACATAGTTCAACTTCGGTCAATCAAGGAAGAGAAAGACCAGCTCCAGGTGTTAGTGTCCAAGCAAAATTCCATCATTGAAGAACTAGAGAAACAACTGGTGACGGCTACGGTGAATAATTCAGTTCTCCAAAAGCAGCAACATGATCTGATGGAGACAGTTAATAATTTACTGACTTTGATGTCAACATCAAACCGTAAGTAAAGTTTACATGTAAGTTTTTCCTCCGTTTTGTCATTAGTTGGTGAAACTTCGAAAATTCATAGTAAAAAACAAAAAACCTTTATCTTCCAAGAAAGGCACTATTTCTCTTACATATTTCATGTGAATACTGTATAGAGTCTCAATATGGAACCAATTAAAAAGAAGGAGAGAGAGAGGAAGGGGAATATATATTTATACTAATTAACTATTATGAGGCAAACCACCTCAAACAACCTTTTGTTCCTGGGCTCAGAGAGCCTTCTTTTAGTTAGTTCCATTGCTAACAAGGGTGTATAGGGCTGGCCAAGTTACTAAACCACGTGCTTAGTCGCTCAGTCGTGTCTGACTCCTTGCGACCCATGGACTGCAGCCCGCCAGACAACCTCTGTCCATGTAGATTCTCCAGGCAAAAATATTGGAGTGGGTTGCCATTTCCTTCTCCATTACTAAAGCAGAATGGACCTTTTTTTATTGTTTAAGAGAGAAAAACAATATTAGGCCCATAGGGTTGCTGTGAAGGTTAAATGAGACAATGCTTGCATAAGACCGGTATCCAAGAAACGCCAGGGTCCTGCTCTCACCACACCTGTAACTGCATTTCTCCTTCCTTATTCCTGTTTTACCTTTCAACTTCTGTATTAGAGGGAAGCAGGGATACATCTTCCGTCATTAACTAGAGAGACGATACCCAACCTGTGCGGTATTTTAAGGTTGCTTTTTCTCAAACACTGGGCCTAGCTCTTACTAGAGCCCTTCCAACCGCTTTCTTTCAACACAGATGCACTTTACATGTGATTCATGTAGAGATATTTCTTCATTTCCATAAGAAGTATGTTCTCACATTTCCCTTGAGTCACATGGCTATCCCCAAGTCAGTAACAGAGGCGTTTAAACAAGGTTTCTACTTAAACCAGGAAACAGAGAAACAAGCAAGACCTGTGCTACGTGGCAGGTCTGCAGTACACGCCTTTCAACGAGAGAAGCACTCCTTTGTACTTTAGAAAAATTCTGCATTTTTTCACATGTGTAGAAAAGGAAAAGACAGTCCTCTGAGGCCTGGCGGGACCCAGACAGTGTGAGGTGCTGGCTTTGATGAGCCAAAGTAGAGGAAAACCACACAGCTCAGATCCTGGCAGAAGCAGGGAGCAGGGAGACAGGGCCGCAGGACAAGCTTGGTTTGCCCGCGCCTCGGCTGGCAGGTGGATGGAGCCCCTGCCCGAGCGGCCTGCCTGCCCCAGCTGGTCTAGGGCCTGGGGTGCTGGTCAGTCTCTTGAAGGAAGATACACACATACCTGCAAGAACAGACGCACACAAACACTTTTTTTTTTTTAATGTGGAAAAAAGAAAAGGATTGGGAAATCTATTGAGAGTGAAACAAAAAATTTGAAAGAATTTCACAGTCCTAGATGTTTTACACTTATAAGGAAGAATTTCAAAGACACAAATAAATTTTAGGTTCCCTTTTAACACATGGAGGGCTACAGTCCATGGAATCGCAGAGAGTCAGACATGACTGAGTCACTAACACTTTCATTATACTTTAAGACAAGCTACTAAGAGATGGTTGCTAAAAATCCAGAGAATACTGAAGAGTCTTCACCCAATGGTCTAAGGAAATATTAATATACAAACAGCTGGCCTCAGATACACAGGAAGAAGACAGTGCGCACCGCAGCCTAACTGGCGAGCTGGCTGTGGGCGCGGCCACCGCAGAGCCAGCACTGTTTCTAGGTGTGCTCTTCTTTGTTCTTCTGTGATCACTTCATCTGATTCTACTCAAGATGGAAGATTTTTTCACAAGTAATAGTTTACAAAGGGTGATTGCAAAGTACTTGCATTACATACTTTGTATTGCAAAGTACTTGCAGTTCAGTCGATGGGAAGAGAAAGGAAGTATGGATTATTGGTAATGATCTTTGAGAATTAATACCAAACATGCTGAAAGAGGAACTTTTTCAGAAAGGCTTAAGAAACTAGCATCTCACTATAACAATTCAAATGTGATAAAATTACAAATAAGTGCCTCTTAAAATAATCAGCTTTTATCTTTTCACAAACTCCTTTGAAAAGTTTTTCTATTTTTGAAAAACAGCCTCATACTCCTTGCTTGCCAAGGACGAACAAATCGTCTTCAGAGACTGCGGGGAGGCATTCAAGTCAGGTTTGACCACCAGCGGCATCTACACATTGACGTTCCCTAACTCCACGGAGGCGATCAAGGTAAGGCGCTGCCTCTCATTTTCAGCCCCTGGCTTGAAGCAGGTGGTTTCAGAAGCAGAACAGCTGCATATGTAGTTCTCACACCATGCCAGCGGCATGCAAAGCAAAGCAAGAAACACTGAGCACGAGTCACTCAGAGCCCCGCCGCTGAGCACACAGCACTGACGATGCTTATGAACGATGCAGAAATGGCTATCTCATCCTGTGCATCTGCCTCCTGCAGAAGATCATCTGCTTGTGTTCCCCTTGCATTTGGCTTGGTCACGCATCCTATCAGTTGTTTGTCTTGAAGTGTCAGACTCTCTGTGAGTTGTAAAGAAAATGTTTTCCAAAATCCGAGAGTTTGAATAACCATAGTTTATGCATCGGTCCTCATTTCATGTAACAATGGTTGGTATTTCATTCAAAAAAAAAAAAAAAAAGCTTATTCAGTTTGCAACTAAAAGTCACAGTTTCTCTCTTTGAGACAGCCATAGGCACTTTGATGTGCATAAGGGATTAATACCCACTTCCATTTCATCAAACGGAATAGAAAAAACATACATGCAGCAGTAGAGGTTTAATAAAATTAATCATTTTTACTGCTTCGTCAGGGACATCCTGAAGTGACACTGGCTTTTTTCCTCCAGCTGCAAGTGTGTGACTGAGGAACACGGTGATGGTGTGCGTTGCTAGTTCATTCCAGGGTGCTGGCAGTTGCACCTGCTAGTCCTTCTGTACCATCTGTGCAAACGCCATCACAGCCCTGAAGGCTGTGGACTTGCTGCAGAGGGGCTTAGGGCTGTGCTTATCCCATCCGATGGGCTTTTCTTCCCAAGTATGTCCCTAAGTGAGCAAGAACCAGAACTTTCCATAAAGAGAAGCTGGTGTACAGCTTAACTGGGTGTTCTTGGTTATGCTGGATTTCTCAGGAGTGGGGCTCCTGAATTTGCTGCAGGAGATGTTAAGCTTTAGATGGGGGGTGGAGGGGGGAGTCACTTCCCCAGGGAATATTTCAATGTGGCTTCGATAAGGTAAAACAGCCTTACCGAGAATCAGTGTGAAGCACTATATAACTGTGAGACGACTGTATTTGTTAAATACCTATAAATATGTTTACAACTAACTGTAAAAGCAGCTACAAATTGAATGAACGGAAACACTTACGGAAAAGGCACTCAACACTGCATCAAAATGAAAATGTTAGAGGTTCCTGAAAGTATTAGCCTTTTGAACTCAGGATTATCCTCAGTATTTAACATGGTGATAAAGAAAAACACTTTATAAAAAATACAAACATTAAGATTATAAAGACATGGAATTTGAAACAGTAACATATGCTTGGTTATGAATTTAAAAGATAAACAATTTATCTTGAATAATACTTTCCAAAGAAATCTGATTCATTCATGGTGTTCTAAGTCAACCGTGAAAGCCAGTTAATGTCCTAGCACCCTAGAAGCAGTGCATTAGGGGGAGGAAAAAAAACCACACACCCAGTCTGTTGCCAATGAAAAAGTAACGCGTAGACTCTGCACCAAGCCTTTCAGTCCCCTCTGCTCGCTGGCTTTCAGGCCAGCTTCTTATACACTATTGTCTGTCACCAGATGTTGGCCTGCCCTTGGTCTGGAGACAGGGGGACGGCAGGACAGGAGTGACAGGAGGAGGAAGGGGATGGAGAATGAAGTGGAATGACCCCGAAACAGAGCCAGAGGGGCCACCGCCCCCTAGTGTGGTGCAGCGCTTCCTGCCTTAGTATGTGTCTGCCCCGGTGGCTCTACCAGCCCAACAGCCGCAGTGCTGGAAGAGGATGATATATGGCTCTGGGGTGATGGAGTCTCAGGCCATGGCTGGAAACGTCAGGATTTACACGCCCTTTTACACACATGCGGTAAAAACAACTCACTGAACAGCAGGGAACAACAATCTATGAAACCCCCATTTTTTCATCTCTAAGACATACGGTCCAGATTAAGTTACCTCTGGACTCCCCTCCAGACTTCAGACTCCATGATTCACAACCTGAGAAAGTCTGATAGACTTGGGCTCAAACTCTGACTCTGCCGGTGTGTGCCTCTCGGCAAGTCACGGCCCGGCCTGCAGCCTCTGCTCCCTCATCTGTGATGTGCCGCGGGCTCCCCTGTCTCACACAGCAGTTTCGGGGTGACGGTGGAGGTGAGCACGGAGGACGGGGCTCGGTGCCTGCCATCCAGTCAATGTACGGGAAGCGTGACTGTTCTGGCTGCCCCCAAGAGCCACGAGGGGCTTCCCTGGTGGCTCAGTAGTAAAGAATCCGCCTGCAATGCAAAGAATCCGCCTGCAATGCAGGAGACTCGGGTTCGACCCCTGGGTCAGGAAGATCCCCTGGAGAAGGGAATGGCTACCCACTCCAGTACTCTTGCCTGGGAAGTCCCATGGACAGAGGAGCCTGGTGGGCTACAGTCCATGGGGTCGCAAAAGAGTTGGACACCCCTTAGCAATTAAACAACAATAACAAAGGGCCATGAGACAACCTCTCTGCGCCTAAATATTTCAACTAGATTTTTAAAGAAATTCATTAGGTTTTTGTACAAGATAGACATTGCACGGTGGCATTTATCAGAAGCATTGCTGTTTTGCTACTTCAGAGACACAATGGTTTCGTCCCCTAAATTTCACAGAATACCTGACTTCTAACGTTTTTCCGTTTGCTGTTTAATCACTTGTTCACCATGGCCTCAGAGTTGAAGCATGACGTTTAAATCGAGTGTTATGTGCTCGAAGACACCAAACTTGAGAGCAAGATACCAGGCCCCTGGACTGTGCTGAGGTGTGCTGATCAGAAGCACTGGCTGCCCTCGGGTCTGCTGTGACTGGAGCAGAGAGGTCGGGGGTGTTATCTGGGGACCTCTGCTTCTCTGACCTGCCCCGCCATTTTCATCAGTACCCCCTGGCTATGTGGGGAGCCCCACTGGAGCACGGCCCTCCTCTGGAAGCAGCATGAGCCGACTAGCCACAATGCTTCGGTTTTTATAAATGCTATGTGGGTTTTTTTCCCTCAAGCTGGACAAATATTAAAAAATGTTCTCATGAGCCTATCATTGTCCCTAATGGCGTTAGAGGATAGTACGGCTCAGGCCCCAGCCCTCGGTCTTGATTTCCGTAACCAGATGGAATCGTTCTCTGATTTAAATATCAGTAACTCATCAGGGCGATCTTGACATTGAAGAAGAAGTTGCGGAACGAGGACAGGCTCAGTGAGAACAGCGTGCAGGCCTGTCACCCCCCGCACACCTTTTAGGGTAGGAGAGTCCACAGGTGTGCAAGTGACTGCTCAGACCAGTGGAGCTTATTCAGCTAATTTACTAGGATTTTTTAAAACACATGTTGACAGAAGTCGGTGGTTCTGACCCTCTCGTGGACCAAGTGAAAGGCAGTATTATTCATGAACTGGCTTCAGCGTGGAGCGGGGTTGAGGGACTTCTGGCCTATTAACAAAAGAGCCAAGCTTCTCTGTGCTTGGAAGCATGTGTGTCAGTCACTCAGTGGTGTCCCACTCTGGCACCGTAGCCATTCCCCTCTCCAGGGGGTCTCCTGCGCTGCAGGTGGATTCTTCACTGTCTAAGCCACCAGGGAAGCCCATTTGGGAAGCATGAGAGAGTAGAAAACACATCACAGAATCAGGAATTAAAGAGACCTTATTCAAATCCTATATGCCAACACTTAGTAGCTAAATGACTCTGATCAATTTAACCTGACTTTACCAAATCTTTAAAATGCAGAATTAAGAGTATCACAGCAAAGTTGCTGTAAGATCTCAGATAATACATACAAAGAACCCAGCCTGGGGCTTGGAACGGAGTGATGCAGAACAATGATAATGATAATTAATAATAATGTCAGTTCAGAGAGATAAGGGGTTATCTTAAGCAGATCGATTTCATATGACTGATTAATTTAAATGGGAAAATTATTTCATTCTTGATAAATACAATTTTCTTTCATGGAACACATGTTCCCAAACGTGAGGATCACCAGGAAGGCGATACAGGCCGAGTGACGGTCCTGGGGAGAGCCTAGAAAGGTGGCAGAGACGGAGGACCGGAGAACTGGTGCTGGGTTCCAGCTGCTGCTCTTGGTTCGGCTCAAAACAGGCTGGCAGACAAGTGCGCACAGTGAAGGGCAGGCCTGGGTGCACTCTGGGTGCGCCGTTAGCCCCCAGTCCCTAGGATTTCAGCTCAAGAAGCAGTACGGTTCACATTTAAACTTCCTGTGCCAAAACCACCTCCAAATTATCCCCAAAGACTGTGGAGGACAACAAAGAAAGAATACTTCTAATTGGTTTTAAACCTTAACTTTCATATTTACTACCTTGGAGGGCGTAGGGAAATTTATCTTAACTTTTTGGAAAACTTCTTTGTTCTACTGTAATCTCATTATTTAAAACTATTTGTGTAATCTTATTTTCAGGGGTTTTTAATTTCAGAATAAAATTCCAGCTGAGCTGAAATTTAAGCATGGATGCTCTTAGATCAAGAAAGAATCCCATGTCCTGAGCAAAGTTTAAACCCACCAAGCCCGTTTAAAAGCAGAAATCAAAAGAGCTGGGAAGAGAAACATCAGGGGCCATGAGCAAGGTAGAGAGAAGCGTGAGGTCAGGGTCTGCAGGGCGGAACCACCAGGCCCCGCTCAGTTCACACACAAAGCTCCGGACCCTCATTCTGAGGGGCAAACCAGGGAACCTGATTTTGATCCTACACGCGGAGGAAGCCTAACAGCTCCATGGCATCACAGAAGTCTTAGAAGCTCTGCGATCCAAGAGTCTCCCTTTTACACAACTCTCTGAAGAGTTGATAGGGACTGGCAACCATCAAAAAGGTTTTCAGGGATGTGGACACGAAGCAATGGATTTCTGCAGGCTGGAGATGAGAGATTTGGGGCCAATCAGCCAACATGTCCTGTTCCCAACAAATCTCTAAGGAATACAGATCTCTGGGTTAGCTATCGGGGTAGGTCTTTAGCCTAGAACAGATGATGACAAGGTCCTATTTTCATCGACGCGTCGTGTTATGTTACTGTTTACTTTTCATCATCATTTTAAATTCATGGTTTTCAATTTCCTTAAAATCCTTTGCCTCTTGGAAGACCACAGAGATTTACCCCAGAGAACCCCATCGGCTCTGGCCGTATTCTAAGTATCTCTGTTCATCTCGTTTCTGTTATGTAAGATGAAGACCCAAGTCCGGACATTTCCCAGGCAGTAACTGTGTGTTCCCGTTGCAGGCTTACTGTGAGATGGAAACGGGTGGAGGCGGGTGGACAGTTATTCAGCGACGTGAAGATGGCAGTGTTGATTTTCAGAGGACTTGGAAAGAATATAAAGTGGTATGAATATTCTTTAAACCATCTGAAAATAATTTTCCTTGTGAAAACTAACTTTGAGAATGTGCAGGACTTCCACCACAACTCTAAAACTAACCAATGACTTTTGACCATTTTTTTTGTTTTGAAACCAAAAGGATCTTTCTAATTGGTGCTTCTGTCACCATGTTAAAGAATGGTCCTGTCCATGTAACATAAACTATACATCAAAACAAAGGCATGTGAAAGCTGGTGGGCTCAGCATTTCTAGGGGTAGACTACTTCATAGCATTTCACACCTCTACAAACTAAGCTGTTTAAGACGATGCTTCTTTCTTAAGATTTTTTGATGTGGACCATTTTAATACTGATTCTGTTCTTATGTTTTGGTTTTTGGCCACCAGGCATGTAGGATCTGAGCTCCCCAACCAGGGACTGAACCCAGATCCCTTGCATTGGAAAGTGAAGTCTCACGCACTGGACCAGCAGGGAGGTCCCTATGATAATGTTTCTATTGGTGGTTCTCCAAGTCGTTCTAATTATTCCAATATTAATCTCCTTCTGGTAACAGCTTAGCTTCTTAAAACTGATTTTTTTTAAAACCTTATATGGAAGGTCCCAAAGTTTCACAGCACAGGAAGGAATTTCTGCTGAATATTTGATGCTTGTTCCATGTTAAGTGGATGGACTACTGATTTCAGATATGTGAAGAAAAAAAAATAAGTGAAGTAAGCAAACTTTTCAACTTGAATTTCAGGGATTCGGGAACCCTTCGGGTGAACACTGGCTGGGAAATGAGTTTGTTTCGCAAGTGACTGGTCAGAAACGCTACGTGCTGAAAATACACCTAAGAGACTGGGAAGGGAATGAGGCTTACTCACTGTACGACCACTTCTATCTCTCAAATGAAGAGCTCAAGTACAGGTGAGGAAATTACATGTCACTGAAATGAGTTAAAAGATCTGCTGGAAGTCAGAACCCCACCGTATTAACCAGAATCTAAGTGACTCACAGGCTGCCTTAATAGGGAAAAGCAGCTTGTTTCTCAGAGTTCTTTGACGTCTTTAGGCAAGTGTCTCTACTTTTAGCATTCTAATTCTAATGATACAAGGGGAGCTTTATGAGACAGAACTGTGCCTGTTGTGTCTGCTGTGTATCCTCAGAGCACAGAACCCTGTCTGGCAGGTAATTATTTGCAGAAGAAATGAATGTTGGGTCCTTATTATGAAGTACCATGCCATAATGTGTGTGTGTGTGAGTCACTCAGTCGTGTCCAACTCTTTGCGACCCCATGGACTGTAGCCCACCAGGCTCCTCTGTCCATGGAATTCCCCAGGCCAGGATACCGGAGTGAGTAGCCATTCCCTTCTCCAGATCTTCCCAATCCAGGAACTGAACTCGGGTCTCCTGCATTTGGCAGGCAGATTCTTTACCATCTGAGCCACAGGGAAGCCTAGCAGATGTATGAGTATGCTGTTTTCCTCCAGAAGGTTTTAAAAGTTAAATCTATTTTTGAGAAGTTCAACCCCATTCGGTTGCTGTGTTCCATCCCAAACTCAGGATGAGTTCCAAGCTCAAGAGAGGCATGACTAGCTGGGTGGTTGGGCAGCTGGGTCCTCTGCCCTGGGCTGCAGGAAGATGGGCCGGATCGCAGCAAGGCCTCAGTATCTGCGTCCTCCCACCTACTTGGCGGAGCTAATCTCGAATGCTCCAAGAAAAGCATGGGCAGTTCTGAGAGGGAATTGGCTCTTTGGCGCTAGAATGGCCAGAGAGGGGAGGCAGAGCAAAGGGGCCCTGAGCCCTGCCGCGCAAGGCCAGGGCAGGGCAGGGGTTGGGGCAGCTCACTGTCACGCGGGGGCTCAGGATGCCTGTCGCCAGCGGGGCCCAGGGACCCAGGGTACCTGCGGGTGACCCAGGAACCGGTCTGGGAAGACACAACACAATGGGGCAGGTGCCAGCACACCCTGAGGGGGTCTAGAGGGCGCAGCTGGGGGAGAGTGGAGGGGAAGGCGCGGTTCCGGGGGCTGCAGGGCACACGTGAAACACCTATTCTGAAGTCAGACATAAGAGAAGATCCACAGCAGTCACGGGAGATAGAGGTCAGCTGGCCTGCAGTCCTGGCTGAATTCCACAGATGCCCAATTCAGACCCTCTGCTCAATGAAAATTCCAAGACCTTAGTAGTTTGGGAAGAAAAAAAAAAAAACCCTGTGATTTTTAAAGTCCTTGAGCTGGCTTCTCGGCGAGGCCGCAATGGACAGCTCGAAAGAAAATGGGCTGAAAGCCAGCCTGCTGACAGCTACCTGAGAAGTGCAGAATGTCTCGTGTCCTGCTAAAAGGGGGACCAAAATTCAGAAGCGCTTCTGAAAACACAATGTCTGACGAGCTTTGACACAACTTCTAAGAAGTCAGCGATTGGCTCTCATCACGCACAGAACCGGGCCGTCCAGGGTGGACAGGGGCTCAGATGAGTGAAAAGATAGGCGTCTGGGCTGCAGTGCAGCCCCAAGGGGACTCTAAAGAGATCAAAAACTCAACGAAGTTTTAGACATGAGTGGCTGGTCACTGTTTTACCTCCAAGCTAAATATTTTTTCAACTGGCAACAGTTAGAACTCTACAACAGAGAAATTAAAAAGAAAGAAAGAACACAAAAATTAAGGATTAGACTATTTATATAAGAAGACTTCACAGAATGGGTCATTACCATTGTATGCTGACATTATAAAAATATTTTAAACTGTGATGGTTCTTAACAGATATTTCCTTTAGAAACACAATCAATTTTTAGATACATGATGTAAAAAAGCCCATGTTTGTTTAAAGCTCAGTTTAATTTACTTGACATTATAGGGCAAATACTACATTGAAAAAATTATTATCCTGATAAAACATGTCAATGTGATAAGAAAACTGCAATGTGACTAAAACTTAAAATAACTATAGATATTTCAGAACTCCAACTGCATGTAACAGTTGTTTTTTACTAAAGGAATTTTCCCCAAATGTTAGAAAACTGAAAAAAAATACATGTTATAGGAATGTATAAGTGCATCAATAGAATATGATTCTTTTTACTAAAACTAAAAACTATTTGTATATTCATCCTTAAGAACTGGTCACTTTTGTGGTAAAGAACTGCCTGCCAGTGCAGGAGATGTGAGAGATGTGGGTTTGATCCCTGGGTCGGGAAGATCCCCTGGAGGAGGACATGGCAACCCACTCCAGCATTCTTGCCTGGGGAACCCAGAGGATCCTGGCAGGCCACAGTCCACAGGGTCTCAAAATGCTGGACATGACTGAAGTGCCTGAGCACACACACACCAGCATTCTGGCAGCTCCGTGTAAACACTAAGATTTAATTATTAAATACCGGCATTACCTCTCTCACCATTCCACTGTGGTATAAAAGCGACGGGTACCAATTTAAAGCAATTTTGAGAATGTGGCTACTCTTGATAAAGTTTTGAAAAAAGCCAACTTTAACCAGTGGGCCACAGAACAAAAGGATCTAAAGGGAGTCATTCATCTCAGTCCTGCTTGCGATTAACGAGATGGGCCAGGACAGAAATCTAAGTCCTTCTGTTAGGTGGCAGCCTGGACAGGAGGGGAGCATGGACACACGTACACGGATGGCTGAGTGCCTTTGCTGTCCCCCTGAAACTATCACAGCATTGTTAACTGGCTACACCCCAAATATAAAAGTTTAGAAGAAAAAGGAAAGTGCTTCAAAACCCCAGAAATCAGCAGAATCGACATGAACACGTTACACCAGGTATACAGAGGTTGCGCTTAGAGCCTGGGGTCATGACTGAAACACAAGAGGAGCCTGAAATCAAGAAACTCAGTCCCTGCTGTGCGACGAGGTTTCCAGAGTCACAGTATCGCCGACAATTGAAAGATCTGAGTTACTGACACAGAACTTACTCAGGGGCAGCGCCGTGGGGAACCTACTGGGTAAGGCCCCAGGTGCCCTCAACGACCTCCTCTATCACCACTCCGGGTGCCCAGCGCGGAGCCCTCACAGAGAGGCAGTCGTGGCCGGCCCCCGCTCTGCCACGTCTGGCGTGTCACTCTGGGCACGTTCCTGTCTCAGAACCTCCGCCACCCTACCTGTGAGGCTGGGGGTGCCGCACGCCCACCTCGGGGCTGTTCTGGGCGCTGCTACTCACGCGTGGGACTGCGCGCTGTGGGCGCTGAGAGACAGGCCCCTGGCCAACCTTTCCTCCCGGCTCCACTTTCTGTTCCAAAATGAATTCCAAGAAACTCTACTCCTTCCAAGAAAGTTGCCAGCACTTGTGAGCTGGTGTTCGCAAGACTAGCGGCGTCTGGGGGGGCTTAGAGAGCAGGAGCGTCCCCAGGACAGGAGACTCAGCGACCCCGGCCCCAAGGCCCACATTGTGACGCAGGCTCGGAGCAGGCGCTCGCGTCCCTGGGACCCTGCTTCCCTGGCCTGGGCTCCCCTGGAGTGGGGCACACAGCACCCCGGCCCTTCTCCCCTCCTCCTGGGCAGGCACGCTGCTGTGGGGAGCCAGATTTTTGTGATCTCCTAAAAGCCAGAGCACAAAAGAACTGATGCTTTTGAACAGTGGTGCTGAAAAAGACTTGAGAATCCCTTGGAATGCAAGGAGATCCAACCAGTCCATCCTAAAGGAGACCAGTCCTGAATATTCACTGGAAGGACTGACGCTGAAGCTGAAACCCCAATACTTTGGCCACCTGATGTGATAAGCTAACTCACTGAGAAAGACCCTGATGCTGGGAAAGATTGAAGGCAGGAGGAGAAGGAGACAACAGAGGATGAGATGGTTGGATGGCATCACCGACTCGATGGACATGAACTTGGGCAAACTCTGGAGATGGTGAGGGACATGGAAGCCCGGCGTGCTGCAGTCCATGGGGTTGCCAAGAGCTGGACATGATTTGATGACTGAACAAAAAGGCTGGACCATCATCTAGAGTCTAATGAATAGCATGCTTATTGTTTCTCAAAGTCTGGCAGGTTTATTACAATACTATTCAGAAATGAGGCCAAGCAGTCACAGGCGTTGTTTTCTACATGGTTCATTCACTAGACTTCTACACCAAGTACAACGGTCCTTCCTAGTCTGCTGCCCTCCCCACCCCCACCGGGCATCTCGAGACTTTGATTACTATTTCCATGATATGGAAAGAGGATCCCCTCACAACGTTATTTTCCCCCCTTTTGTTTATCTGAAAGCAGCAGGAAAATAAATTATAGGGCCCCGAAGTCCCCGCTGATGTTTGTGCAAGTGATACGCAGTGAAGGTTTCATGAAAACATTCCTCTTTGCCTAAGGGTTTGATGATAAGTTGGTTCCTGTTTATACCAGCACAAAAACATTTTGTCCCGGGTATGCATTAGTGCACTAACCGGCATAGCACGTGCTTCTGTAGAATGAAATTCTTCATCATAAAAAACTTTCCACTATGATAAATCAACCACCCAAGCCAATTATATTTTGCTTTTGTTTTTTTTCCTATTTTTCTTTGCATGCTCACAGGATTCACCTTAAAGGCCTCACGGGGACAGCCGGCAAAATAAGCAGCATAAGCCAGCCAGGAAATGATTTTAGCACGAAGGATGCAGACAACGACAAATGCATTTGCAAATGCTCACAAATGCTCACAGGAGGTGGGAGGACTTTTCTCTCTTCCTATTTGTGTTGGCAAGGAAGGGTTTCAGAGAGTGAAAGGTTGGCTATTCAGACTGCAACCTGTGATTGGTGACAGTGTCCAAATTTCATAACTAGACAGACTTGCTCAATGCAGGGAGGTTTGTTTTTCGCTTTTTCGGACTGTTGAGTTTTACGCACGAATGTGATACGGAGCTAGAATTGTCGCCAGGCCAACTGTGTCTCCTCAGGACCTGGCCCTGGCAGGGAGAGGGGCCGTGTGACCCTGAGCAAGCTCTCCTGAGCTTGTGCTGAATATCAGATGTTGGAAAGATGGTTTAATTCCATTTTGCTTCATTAGAAAGGTTAAGAATTCGAAATGGCAACAAAGCAGTGATGTGGATTCATTAGTATAGGAATGTTTCCAATGAATAATTTATAGTTCAAACAAGAAGTTTTCAGTTTTTTTTTAAAGATGCTATTAATATATTGCAAACACTTATAATGCAAAGTAACTAACTAAACAACCTCCTTTTCTGTGCATCAAATTAAAATGAATGATAGTCCAGTTTAAATTAAGGCCTTTGTTTTCAGGCTGTTCTTGCCTTCTATTGATACCTTCCATGTTAGATCTCTCAAAATAAAAAAGAAACCACACTCATAAACAAATGTGATATAACAGTCACTTATATGGCTGGATGAGTACTCAGAAGCATGTCAGAGTTTAGTGATAGGGACCAAGTGTTAGAAAACCTATTCTTCTAAAAGTTTTAAAGTGGAATAACCAGAGCCAGTTAACTGCGACTGAGACCAGAAGGAAGTCTGGCAAATGCTGTCAAAGTTAGTTCTTAAAAACACTGAAAGATTGAAATCAGCAACGAAAATCCCGCCAGCAGTGCAGACTAAATGCAGAGGCAAACAGGAAGCTGGCAGTGTTTAATTTGTAGAGGCCATGAATTGTATCACCAAAAATTCATTCATTACTCACCCAGGAAAACCAGAGGAACGAGCTGAGGTCAATAAATCTTACAAATATGAGGGACTGCGTCAACAAGTAAAGGATCTAAACTTACCATATGTTAGCACTGCAGTTAAGAACTGTTTACAGGCAAAAGGATTTATTTAAGAAAATAATTTGAAATAAAAGTAATTTTCAAGTCTTTCAATGATACTGAGAGACGGAGGCTCCATTAAGAAACTCAGTCTTATGGTTCCTTAGAGAATGTATTTTATGTATAAATACATGTTGGTAACATAAGCCTTCCTTATTAGCCAGGCCCACTTCAGTAATTATTTCAACCAGAGAATGCTATTATGCGGATTGTGTAAAAGCTGCCTGTCTCCCCCATTGACCATAATAATCCTTTTTAAAGCCAACCAGGGGAAGGGGGTGGGGGAGTGAGCCCTTGGAATCCTTCCTGTTTGCCATTCCCACACTGAGCCCAGCTGTCCACTCGGGCAACAGCGGTTTTCAGACCACCCGAACGTCAGGAGCTACTCAGGAGAGTATCAGTGCATTAATAACCAAGGAAACAACATATTTATTTACTCAGATTAAGATTTAGGGCTGAGAGTGGAAGTGGAAAGCTGACAGGAGAGAAGAAACGCAGCCCAAGAGGGAGAGTGTAGAGGTCAGATTCCAAGCTGTGGTCTGGACCATGGAGAAGCCAGCTAGATTTTTGCATGTATAGTAAATTCAACAGCTGAGTCAGGCTCTTGGATGGACGGACTCATAAGTGTGTAATATTCCTGAATATTATGAAGGATTATGAGCCTCACACGCAAACGTCTTATCAAATCAACATTAATCTGAATCAAGTAATGGCGCTCTTACCCCCCCGAAAGAATTCAGGCATCTGGATGGAGTAACTGGTGCCCAGAGAGCAGTGTGTGAGTATCAGAATGGAACATGCGCACCAGAATACTTTCAAAGAAAGAAAACAGGCCCCGCCAGTACTTGCCCCTGGGGGAAGAGTCACATTATTTCTTTTACTAGGTTTGGAGATATCAAGAATAGTTGTTATTTTTTTCTGTATTTTAAAATTTTATACAAATGGCATCATACTGTGTATGTCCTCCCAACACAATATGAAGATTTATCTGGATTAAGGCATGTAGATCCAGGTCACTCCTCCCCTCACAAATCCAAGGCCTCTGGGGAATGGCGTTTCCCCAGACTAGTCCTTCAGGTGTAGATGTGGATGCCCCCCTAGACCCCCACTTTACTTTAGGGCACACACCACTACAGCCTTAAATTTCCTTTTTGCCTCTGGGACTTGAAGATTTGCTTTTTAATCTGGCTCCACCGAGTACTTAAAATTTGGGGTTACACTTTCAACAAAAAGACTCTCTTTCTTAGCTGGAGGGCAGCCTGAATCGGTCTGGTCCACCGTGTTGCTGGGACGGGATGGATGGTGAGCCTGGCCCCATGAGACCCATCCACCCATTCTCCAGGTTCTGCCCCTTCCCCACTTTCAGCTGTGCCCGGGCTCTCCTAATCATGTTGGCGGGTGACTGGGCCTTCCCCACAGCACAGAGGAGTAAGGAAGCTCCTAAGAACGTGTGCCTTAGGCAGCCACAGTCCAACCAGCGCAGAGGTGGAGAGTCACGCTCCCCGCTGCCAGGCAGCTCTCCCCACACTCAAGAACGGCCCCGTGTGCTCCCTTCACAGGTATGGGATGCGACTCTCCGAAGAGCTGGCATTTCACACTCAGTGATGAGACAGTCAGGGCTGCCTGGCTCCTAATTCCTCTGTGCTTCCCTTTCACAGGCTGGTGGTTTGATGCCTGTGGTCCTTCCAACCTGAATGGAATGTACTACCCACAGAGGCAGAACACAAATAAGTTCAACGGCATTAAGTGGTACTACTGGAAGGGTTCGGGCTACTCACTCAAGGCCACGACCATGATGATCCGTCCAGCAGATTTCTAAACTCTGGCACGCACCTGAGGGACAATGTCTTGCCCTGTTTCCAGAGACTTGATCCAGAGCACTAAAAGACTGCACGCTGTCCCGCATCCAGCTTGGACAAACTGCCCGCTCTCGGTGCGGAAGGGACCGTGAGCTCCGTGCGAGCCCTGTGAGGTCTACCCCTTGAACCTGCATCGCTCAGTGAACCGACGCACAACCCCAGACAAGCCACAGCCTGGTGTGGTGACCCGGCAGAAAGCCTTCGGGAAGATAACTCTAAGCCCGCGAACGAGACTGACAATTTACAGACTCTGTTGTCACAACCAAGAATGTTATGTGCGAGTTGATCAGTAAATAACTGGAAAACAGAACACTTATGCCGTATACTAGAGATAACCTTGGAACTGCATTTTTCCAAGCACTGTTTATAGACTGTGTAAATATCTATATGTCCTGAATTCAGCATTGCTATCATAATTAAAAGGAAGAAAAAATTCTGTAAGCCATAAAAATACATTATATATTCAGGGATTTTTGTGAGAAGTGGTTATTAGTAGTTTTAATATTTGGAGAAGGAAAAACATAGCTAATGCATTTTTATGCCTCCTCTTAGGAACCTTAAATTTTCATTCTGAGGACAGCATATTTACATGTGTATTGATAGCTTAGTTTTAAGTTAATGCTCAAATATATATATTTCAAAGTTTCCATGGTGAACACTTTCAGGAGCTCTGAAATTATTAATAGAAACGTGTTCTTTTAGTATATATGAAGATTGTACTATTTTTTTTCCTGCCTTGCTGTTAAATTTGAAGGTATTTTTAGTAATTAAACATAACTTATTAGGTGAGATGACCACACTTAACTTCTATGATAATACTTACAGCATTGTAATTTGATTCTGAAACAAATGATTGTGCTTCATGACAAGGAAAATCTTGATTTTTAAGGAAGAAAATTATACATTTAATTTCATGACAAAGAGATTTTCCTTTTACTTACTATTCTAGAACAGAAGCCTTGTTTCTCTTCTACCAAGATGTATTTTAGGGGAGTAGACTACAATGTAGCCTGTGGTTGAGAACACCTTTCCATCTGAAACACTTAACAAAGCTATAGGGCTCAAGCTAGACTCACCCCACAAGTTATTCAGGGGAAAAACATAATTTGGATCAGTAACAGTAACTTAAATCCTACTAAGCTTAAACCACCAGTCAACTTTAAAAAAAAGTGTTCTGGAGTGCAAAACCAAAATCTGACATTAGTATAACAGTATATGCAAATATTTACAGAGCATTTCGAGAGCACAGATTTAAGCTCAGCACTGTGAAAACTCCTAGAGTTTTAACTCCGTTGAAGTTTCAGGATACAATTAATACTAATGACCACTTGTGTAATGTTCCATAATTTGGAAGCCATCTCTCATATATTCACATTTGAGTCAGATGTTAGGAAACTCAGAGCCAAGTCTGCAGCCAGCGTTTACCTCTGTTTGTCTCACCTAACACTGTTCCACCACTGTATTTTTTCTTATGTAATTTATTTCACCCCCACACCTCCCCTTTCCCAACTTAGTTTCATAACACCCAGGTGTTGCTGGGCAGACTATGAACACACTTCCCACCAAGTTGCACCTTCCCAACAAATGCATGAACAAGTAAGGAACCTTCTGTCTCATAACAGCTCCTCTCACTGCATGTGAGAAAGCGCTGGAAATCTGACAGAGGCTGACTGTACACGCAGCTCTGCACCAAGCTGAGAAACATCTGATGGTGAGAAAAAGCCCCTGCTCCAGAAGAAACCACAAGTTTTCATGATATCTCAATGACCACATGATAAACGCCGAGGTGGGGCAATGAAAATACAGGAAAAACTGGCAACAACACACTTAATTTACAGCACTTGTCCATGTAGGCAGATAAGGTGAATTTCAAAGATAACATCACTATGTTACTCGGTGTGACATATACTCTCTCATGGCAGAGAAGGGGGAGAATCTGCATCTTTACTTCACACTTCAACTCCTTACCTGGTATTTCAAACAACACATCTTGCTGAGACGAATTTTCCTCTTCTTAAGAAAACATATATAAAGCTAAGACCAAATCAAAACAGCAATCTCAAAAATGGAAACAGAAATGACAACTAAATAAGCCCCAGGAAGGGAGAGTTCAATTTCTAACTATGTGACAGTCATATGGCATTCTCAAACAGCTGAAAAACCTGGAGATGGGTCACAGATTACAGATCATCAATTATCTTTCAGGCATAACCTTTTGAAAGAATAATCTGTTACAAACCAGTTAACATTTGAAAACAAAAGACAACTTCTGCACAATCTGACTTCCAAACAAACCTGAAATTACCTACTTATTAATCTTTAAAAACACTGGAACCTGGCACTTTCCCGTTAAGAATGTGAAATACCAGAAAGTCAGTAAAGCTGAAGCTAAGTTTTAGAAAAAAACACCAAAACAGAAAGACCACATCACAATGCTAGCAAGCTGCAATTTTTATACCTATCGGTTCTATCTGTTAACAGTAACAGCATCATTATTTGAAGTAGTAAGCAAGACATAATAGCACTTTCTCAAGAATCTTGTCTTCTTTCATTTTTGTGTTTCTTAATCCTAAGGACTTTCATAATTAAATTTTTTGGGATTACATTTCTCATGACTTTTTGAGGAATGGTCTCACATTTATTCTCACAAATAGACAAAATGTGTTAACTTCTGCAAATGTGTCGTTTTAGTTATAAGCATAATTGCTATTGATTTAATTTTAAAAACTTGAGTACATATCGATGCCAATAATAATTTCCTGAAAATACCAAATTGCACTTATCATCATAAAATAATGTGTGACTTACAGGAGCTGCAGGGAAGTAGGTAGATAGTTCAAATGGTTCCTCGGAAATCCAGTGACCCATTTCCAAAGACCACAATACCTGTAAGTGACATGAGAAGCAGAACACTTTTAATAAACCTATCAAGCTTTTAGTGGACAATAAACCACTTTAAAGACACAGTAAAATGAAAACAAAACAAAAAAACCCCAGCAGTAACTACACACTACATGGATCTGAAGCAAGCATCTTGAACACTGAAGGGCTATCAGAATCTTCGGGCTGTGTAAATGTTACAAATATTAATGAATGCTTGGTTAAGGAAAAACATCTCTGGATGGCTAGAAGCCTGGGTTATTATTATATCTTAGTGAGGCCAGATACTGAACACCTACTTCAAATACTGAACCACCCTACTTCTAAACATATGAAACACTACACCTCCCTAAATTCTAGTTTCCAATTTAGAGAGTTGTTACAGACAATCTTAAGCAAATAACATAGAGTCTTATTAATTAAAAAAACTCCAAATATTTGGAGAAGATAGATCATAAACCTAATTTCGAAGAGCAAAATTTCTGGGGTATAACTTTATTTCTATCATTTGCCAATACCTGTAGGAGAAGTTTTCCATAACACATTGGGAACTCCTTCTCACCCTTCAGAAGAGTAAAATGTCTCATATCATAAACAAGCTTTCATCATCATCATCAGAACCCACACATTTTAGAATAATCAAAACAATGCTTTCGTTTTTACTTCAACAACATTTGAGGTTCTGCATTTATTTCTATGACCAAACGCCCTGAATATCTGTGTGACGTCTACAACTAAAATAAACTGAATTACATAACTCACACTTATCTTTTTATCTGCAATTTCCTTCTTTCCTGCAGTCAGTGAATTCATCCTATTTCTCTAGAGTTGTGATGTAAAGTTTAAGGGTTTTTCGCAGATTTACTAGGAATGAAGTCTAAATCATCCCTTTTGGTAGTTTCTAAACTTCAGAACCATCCACGGAATATCAGTCTGAAATATAACCTTTTTAATCTTAAACCTAGTGCTCGCTTCGGCAGCACGTATACTAAAATTGGAACGATACAGAGAAGATTAGCATGGCCCCTGCGCAAGGATGACACGCAAATTCGTGAAGCGTTCCATATTTTTGTATGACAAAAACCACTGCAATGATGTAAAGTAATTAGCCTCCAACTAATAAAAATAAATGGAAAAAAAAAAATCTTAAACCTAGTACTTAACCCAACATGGGACAGCATTTTATTTTGTTTCTAAGACAAAGGGAATGTGACGGTGGAATAAAGACAAGAATGGAATATAGTGTCTGAATGACCATTCTCAGCACTGGCCCAGATCTTACTTTCAACAGATGCATTTACTTATTCAACAGCCATTTCTTTCAGCTCACGATCCATTCATCTGTGAACAACTTACTGAGAGCCTATCAAGATGGGTCCTGGAAATCCAAACCCAGACCTAGAAGGATTTATCCTCTTGCAGGAGGCATGAGGGGAAACCACAAATGCTGGTTTCTCCAAAGCAGTGCTGGGCACGCTTACAAGAGGAAGCAAACTAGCTCCAGCCAGGAGAACCAAGACAGGGACCACGGAGGGGCTGGCACTGAAACTGAGTAAACGTTCCTGAGGCAGAGGCAGAGGCAGGGTGAGAGAGGAGAAGGTGTTTCAGCACTGGCAGAATACCGTGTGTCAGGACAGCAGCGAAGCAGGTGCTTCCTTTTGGAGGTAGTGGAGGGAGCTCTGGAAGAGGTGGTGAGAAAATAGGGTCGGTGGCTCCACAAGGTAGGGGAGGTTTGCTAGCATACCTTGTTTCTAGCCCTGTGTGCCAAGGACATCGGTGCCAGCACAACTGTTGGGGAGCAGAGTCAGAAGACACGCCAGGAAAGACGGAACAAACAGCCTGTGGCGTGGGGCTCACATTGACACAGTGGGGAAGGAGTGAAAAAATGGAGAAAATCTGCCTCCATTAGAGAGAAAGCAATGAGTTGAGTTCTCAGGGACCCTAATCTTCAAACAGATCTCTGTGTACATGGACATTTTGTCATTGAATTCTCTTTTTCTTTCCCCCTGATTTTTACTGCATAACCAACATTTCAAAAAAAAAAAAAAGACTTATCTTAATATATTAATTCAATGAAAGAAGGTATTAGAAAATTTATAACTCTACACTGAAATCATGCTTGTATACTGTTCTTTATGGGTGGCTAAAATAATCCACTGCAGTAACATATTGTTTGCCTTACTTTTATCGGTCAATGTATGTTATCGTTTACAGAGACACATTAGCTCCCTACAAAGTCATATGATTAGCCCGGGAAATAACTGTGGAAAGTTTCAAAACCAGGCTCGCTTCTGACATGGAGCATGTGGAAGAGCAGTGCAGTGAGAAACAAGCGCTGCAATGAGAGAGTCCGGGGAACCAGCCTTAGAAGTGGCTTTGGAATTTGAGTTCAAATGTAATCCACATTAAAACGTCAACTGACTTAAACAATCTCGGGGAGAAAATTTACATTCTCTGAATCTATCCCTTTCTAAATATTTTGAAAATAAAACCATCAGGCATCTACAGTAGCATTTTGGTGAGTGAATTAATAAATTTAATCTATGTAGGCGTCCAAGGAATGAGTATTGTACAGAGATAGCAGAAAACATTAATTTGATTGTAATGAAATCATCAAATCAGAGTGTACTTTTTTTAAGAGTGTAAATTTTTTGCTTTAGTGTTTTCATTAGCTAGATTTATCTTTACCTTAGTAGAGTATTCAAAAGAAGGAAAATCTACTCTGTAAGATGGCAGTCAAGGCTGCAAGTTTAGTTAAAAATAAAAGGTTAGGGAGTTCCCTGGTTGTCCAGTGGCTAAGACTCCAAGCTCCCTGGGTTTGATCCTTGGTCAGGTAACTAGATCCCACATGTCACAACTAAGAGTTAGCATGCTGCAACTAAAGATTCTGCTTGCCGCAAGGAAAACTGAAGATCATGTGTGCAGCAACTAAAACCCAGAGCAAATAAATAAATAAAAATATTAAATAAATAAATAAAGTCAGTACTAAATAAACAAATAAAAGGTTAACTGGGCATATATTTCTCATAATATACATGAAA